TATTTATTTATGTTTGCTTGTTTGTTTGTATTGTGGCTATATGCGCTTTGCACGGAGTCCATCTTCCTCTCCCCTTATTTAAGCACGCAGTGCGTGGTGCGGTGGTGCCCCCATATTCCTCTCCGCTGTTTGGGTTTCAACATCTGTTGCTGCTCCGCGGTGCTCAGTAGCGATCTTTGAGTGTATGGTGCCATGTTCTGGTCTGTTTTTTTATTATTGTTTCCCTGTTCCGCCCGAGCAATTTATGCTCGTGACAAGTTACTCTTTTTCTTTCGTTAATTTTGTGCCTGCCGTCCTCTCTTTCTGGCTTGTTTCATACACACAACGTGGTGCATGCGTATAGGCACTGAGGTTTATCGTGGTCTTTTTGCATTTTCTCTCGTTCGGTCTCAGTGGTACTTCCGTGGCTTTTTGTGGACAAGCGTCTGTTCGAAACAGAAGCGAGGAGGGCGCAAAGAAGAAATATATTCATTATGGAGCGCAGGTGTAAGCAGTCGGGCTCACTATTGTTTTCCTCCGCAACAGTACCGCTGTCGGTGATGCTGCTGCTGCTGCTGTTCCTCATGAACAGTGGCCTCGCGGAGGCCTTCCCGTTCAGCAAAGCCTCCGGCGTCGTGGAGCTGACCCCCGCTACGCTGAATCAATTCGTGTCGACACACAAGCCTGTGTACGTCCTCTTTTACGCCCCGTGGTGCGGTCACTGCCGCAAGATACACCCAGAGTGGGAGAAGTTCGCACAGGCCGTTCAGGGAACGATTCGCGTGGGTGCGGTAAACGCAGATGCACACAAGGAGCTTGGTCAGCAGTTTTCCATTCGCGGGTTCCCTACTATCAAGTATTGGAATGTTGGTGAAAAGCGCCTCAACAAGGCGCTGGAGTATGAGGGGCCACGACAGGCTTCGTCTCTTCAGGCCAAGGCGATGAGCCTCATTACATCCACAAACGTGAAGAAGATACTCAACAGCGACGCGTTGCGTGAAGCAGTACAAAACGCACCGGAGAAGAAGGCGGCTGTGCTCTTTTCCTCGAAGTCACACGTTCCTCCAATTTTCTCTGTTCTGTCGTACTCCCCACGACTAAAGTCGATGCCGTTTTACTTTGTCGGCAGTCAGGCGAAGGCGGGACTTGCGCTGGAGTTCGGTGTGCAGCAGCTGCCGAGTATTGTTGTGCTCAATGCCACGGATGGAGACATTCAAAAAGTGGCGTACCCGGAAAAACAGATTTCCTATGAGCCTATTGCGAAGTTCCTACTAGCATGTGCGACAGACACACTTGACGAATATAGAACTGGAAAAGGGAAGGACGAGAGAGTCTCTGAAGCAACAGGAGGGGGTAACAGCAGCAGCAGTGGTAGCAAACTGGCGCTGCCAGTCCGCCCTGTCCGATTGACTGCCGACGCTTTGGAGAGCTTCTGCTCGCCGAAGATGCACAAGAACGGTGAAAAAGCACCACTGTGTGTGGTGTCACTCACCTCCGCATTCAAGCTTGACAGCGTCCATGAGCTTTTCCGCAATGAGCCTCTCCTTTTCTTTGAGGCACACGCTGATCGGGACATGCTCATTGCTGCCCTTGAAGAGAAAATTGGACTTGGAGCTGTGGCAACTGCTCTCAAGGGTGAAAAGCCACACGATGTGTTGTTGTTACGGGCACCGAAACGTGACACTGTCCGCTACGCTCTCCTCGACGAAGTGAAGACAGCTGATAGTCTCAATGCAGTTCTTCAGAAAGTGGTGGCAGGTGAGCTGCCGCTCGCGAAGAAGGTTGTGTCCTGATTCACCCGCGTTAAGATTTGGAGGGGATGACAAAGGAGTACTCGCGATGTTTCAACTTTGTGGCAAGCGCCCATATTGGGGTGGGTGTATGAACAAAAAGAAAAGAGATGTGTTTGGCTTTTAGGTTCTCTGTTTATATGTCTTCTCTTGAGCCTTCGTCCTTGTCGCTATTGTTATTTTATTTGTACGCAACATTTTGTGCGCCCTTTAAGCCCTCATCGACGGCATTGGCCGGCTGCCTCCCCGGCATCTGGGGGGAGTCCGTGCGTGGTTGAGGGTTGGGAAGAACAACGAATAGTTGACGTCGATCAGAGTGCCCTGCTGGTTCGTTTTTCTTTACTTTGTGTGTGCGTGCGTTCCACGTGATCCTCAGGTCGCTTCCCTACAGCTGTAGCTGTATGTGTTTTTTTTTTGCTTTTTTTGTGTGTCTGTGCCTGTTTCGGGATATGTGCCTTGTATCTTTATTGAGTTTTCTCTCTGCCTCCGTGTTTTTTTTTTTTTCGTTTAGTGTGTGTGTGTTTATTTGCCACAGCGGTATATGATTCCACACAGACGCACAGGCATACATACATATATACACACAGAGAAAAGGGAGGCTGAAAAAGCGGAGGTAACGAAAACAAAAAGGGACGAAGTACAAATGCGCCCAGCTGCGGCTGGCCCAAAGGCTGCCCCAGTCCAGGCAAAGGTGCGGCCCGTCACTGGCAAAATTCGTGCTGTGCGCCGCACCTCCAGGAATGTTGGTGCTTTAGCTGCAGTAGATTCGGTGAAACCGAAGGCCACGAGCCCTGCTGCTGTTGGTGTCAAAATGCCATCGCAGATCGGTCCGGGGCGAGCGGAGAAGGGTGTCCGTCAGGCAGAAGAGTACAACTTGCATAAGAATAAGCATACGACCCCAGAACCCAAGGCAAATTCTGTTCCAGAAGTCTCTAGTATGCATTCTGAGAGCTCTGTTCGGGCAGTAGAAACCGAAGACTTTTTGATACGACTAGCTTTGGAGGATTGCATGGCGTGTGTGGACTCTCTTCGAAGCATGATGGTGGGTTTCTTTCAGTATTTGAATGGTGAAGGGAAACCTTCGGAGGGTAGACGCCCAGTAGAGAGAGTGCGTGTAGACCCATTTAAGTTGAGCAAGCGTCCTCTCCTTGGCATTTCCGAAGATCTTTCGGCGCAGCTGAACCAATTAACAGATGGGTGCGAAGCCATTTTTAAGCGAGCCAATTCTGCCACTCGTGCCGGTGGTGAGATGAGGGAAGAGAAGGACAACGGTGGTCCACCGCTTGCAGAGGATACCTTCGGTCGCTGTGCGGAAACACAATATTCTCATTGCAGCACGTTTGGTGACATGGTTGTGGAGGAGAAGACACCCACCCGACAACGATTCTCTACGAGCACCTTCGGAAACCTTGTCTCGACGCACGACGCTTCGACGACTATCACGAGCACAGAGTATTCAGAAAACCCTGAGCCCCGAAGCAAGAGGATCATGCATATGCAAGGTGGTAAAGGCCGAGATACAGCACATGATAAGTGGACCAATACGCCCACACCCTCTGTGGCACATCGTTCAACCCAAACGCTGGCGAGCTGTGACAAAGCGGATCCTCTATATATTAATTCCCCCGAAGTTATCCCTCTGAAAAAGAATGGGGAACGAAAAAAAAAGTAGTTAGCGACTAGTCCAACAGACTTACAGTGGTGTAGCAATGCGCACGGGAGTCCATTGAGGCATCATTTATATTTGTAATTATGGGTTCAAAAAAACTCTCCCAATATAGGATTTGACTCCAATTATTACTGACGTGCTGAATATGCAGCGGCTAGAGTGAGAAAGAAAGTACAGTGATGATAAACATCTCCCTCCATTCTTCTCCTTGACGAAATAAAACTTACGAGGTAACAACAACAACAACAAAGCAAAGAGGGAATCAAGTGGTGACAGGCGAAATGACAGTGTATCGTCTTGTATACGGGGG